TGCACTCAGCATCTAAGGAAATTAGGAACTAAGTGGGACGTTCAAAAAGAAGGACTAAGGCAGGAAAGGACTATAAGCACTCATAATGCAATAGAAGGTCACTGTAAGAGGGGCAACGGATTCAAAGGCTAATGTGCTTTGAAAGCTAAAGAAATGAATATGTCTTTGACAAAAGTGACAAAGAAAGCATATAAAGCTTGGGTAAACATGAAAAATTAAAAACCATAGTTGTGGGTACTGCATGCTTTAGAAAGGGAACAGCTAAACAACTTTGCCGTGGTACATTTGGAAACGCCGAGGTATTAAACTTATTAAAAAATATACAGTAAGGCTTTGCAAATATGTAACTTACTGAAACCAACTCATAAATAGCCAGAAGGCTTAAATTATTCTAAAGCATTGAAATTTGAAATAGCTAAAGGTTTTAAATAATTCAAAGTATTTTGGTCTCGGAACTAAAAAGATATAGCAACTTACAGTTGAGCTCATCCCCGAGCTCAGAAAAAGAATGCCGGCCAACCTGGCTATAAGATTGGAAAGTTCTGAGACCAAAACCAGTGAGAGCCACATGTGATGGAAAACTACAGGCCAGCCTCATTCGTCATCACAAATATAAAATCTAAAAGAACTTAGTTCACCAAACCTAGCCATATTTTAAAAATCAAAGTCTACCATGAAAAGGTATTACTGTTATATCTTAGAAATATAACTTTGGTCATCATTATGTTTTTATTAATATATGGAAAGCATTATAAACTGCTAATGTGATAATGTAACTTAGAAATATATTAACATCCATTCATAGTAAAAGGTATTATCGAATTAGAAATAGATTTATTTCCAATGTAATAAAAGGGAGAGAAAGACTACCTGTATTGTAGTTGATACAATTATCTAATGTTGATGTGTTAAAAAGGCTCACTTAATGAGTCAGGCTGAAAATGTCCATCATCACCAGTTTTAATTTACTGAAGCACAAGCTAACATAATTGGGCAAGAGTAACAAAGGAATGTAATATTCACGAATATGGAATAAAATAAGTGAATTCTTTACCACTGATCCAGTTATGAAGAAAATACAAAAGAATGACGAGATAAATGATTGCTAAAGTTTAGCAGGGGGTTGGTGAGAGGGCCTAGCAGGTAAAGGTGCTTGCCACCAACTCTTACCCTGCCGATCTGAAGTCAAGCTCCAATAGGTGTAGTGGTAGGAGAGCACCCGCCCCTACCGCTGTCCTCTGATTTCCACAGGTGTAGCATGGCACACTCACATCCACCTCTCTCTCTCCACACACATGTGCGCATGTGTGTGCATGCACACACAGAGAGAGAGAGAGAGAGAGAGAGAGAGAGAGAGAGAGAGAAGGAGGAGGAGAGGAAGAGGAAGAAGAAGAGGAAGAGGAAGGATAGTTTGCAGAGATATCAAACCAAATTTGATAAACAACACACCGTAACCTTTCCATCTATCAGCAGAAAAGTAAAATGTATTTGAACTTGAAGGAAGTGCAGTGGACTTTCTGAAGGAGATAATGCACAGATCTCCTTGGACTAGGAGGTTGTAGGTGAAAGAAACAGAATTCTTTCTTCTTGTTGAGACAAAGATAATTGAAGTGCAGGGGCCTGGCTGCCCGTGTTTGTTTACCTAACATCTGGGGAAGGATTAGTGAAACAAGAGGCAGTCCTACTTTTTGTTTCGCTCCTATTGGTGCCATCCTTGGTGGGTTGGGAAGTAGAATCCTCCATCAGTGACCTGACCAGCCAGGCTGACTCTTCCGCAGTCTCCTACCCTCTCCTTAGTCCCGCTGCTTTAAGAAATCTATCACTCTTTGCTGGACCACTTCTGTAAGAAGGCTTGTAAGCCTTCAGTGGCTAGCACTGCCCTGTGACAGGAGCTGTGGGGGTTTTTAATGAACTTCCCTGTTTTCCTCTTGTTAATCCATCTTCTGTCTCAGAACCCTGCCGACATTATGATTGTTCTTAAAGACTGCTTTCCCCTTCTTCCTCAAAGGTCAATGAGGAATCCTGTTCAATCAGAAGGAGGCTTGGTGACATAGGGACTTCATCACAGACTCACTAATGAGCATCTCCTTTAAGTTGAACAGTTTTTAACAGTCTTTACTATCACATTGAAAAGTTTGTGTGTTCTTAAAAAAAAAGAACAACAACCCAGCTTTTAAACATAATTTTCTCATTTCCTTGCTTTTGCTTGTTTGTTGTTTGGTGTGATTATTGAGTATTCACCCAAAATCAGCCCAGGTCTGACAAACTGGTAATTCTTGAGAATTAAAGGCACATATAACTAGGTTGTTTTTACGCATCAGTACAATTCTCTGACACTTAAATTATAGCTTTATTTTTTGTTTTCAAGGATGATTTCAGTAATTATGGGATTTAAAGTAATAAATGCATTTGTGGAACAGGCTGTCAATGTGTATGCCCTTGGCCTACACAGCGAACAGCAGAAATCGCCTAAGGACACAGGGCCAGTCTCTGCTCCAAGCCGGCATTCCCAGCTGAATGTGTTTGGTTTGTTCATGCCTTTCCTTGACCATATCTCCATCTTTGCTGCCTGGCTGAGCAAGAGCACACGGAAGCCCAGATAGAATCAAAGAAAGTCATGTTCAGTTCGTCTATGAGCCGGCTAATCGTGATTATCAGCATGGCGGTATGTAGAATTATTGTGGAAATGCATGCCCAGGAGTGTCTGCCTGGGTGTGGGTGGTGCGTGTCTGGTGGGTTAGGGTCCCAGGCTGAGGAACAGGAAGAAAGCAAACATGAGGCGGGAAGCATAGGGAATAGCACAGCAGCCTGAGACGCCACCTGGCTTGGGCTGTGTATACCCCTCTTCCAACAAGGCATTTGGGAGCCTGAGACCCTATAGCATGTACTCTGTGCACACAGAAATCTCTGAAAATGTCAACTTGCAACCTGGTGGCAGCCCGTAGTTCCCCCAGGTGCATCAGGTCTCATGTATTTATTTTAAACAATGGTTTACATTCTTTTTTTGACAACCACCAAATAGACAGTTGCCAACCCATTCATGTATAAGGATAGGAGGGCCGGTCAGACCCGAACTGGCTTGTGGTGCATGATAATACAAAACTGGTTTCTCATGTGAACTTTTAGGGAGACTCCCCTACTTAGCATTATATACCTATGTGCCTGAGTAGGAATAAGATTAAAATCAGATGCATTATGGGACGGACATACATGGCAGAAAATTATTTTGTGATTTAATCTACCGATCAAAAGAGATAACCACTCTCACCACACTTCTTAGTAACAGGCATCTCCTCCTCTTCAGCTGGATAAACAGAAGCTCCAGCTGGGAGTCAGGGCCTCAGGGCCTGTGAGTCAGGCATGTGGTCTCCTGCTCACTCACAATGCACTTATTTCTGATCCGCACCATTGCTTTGCTTTGGAATAAAGCTTCTTTGCTACTTTGCAATCTGTGTGAGTCTTTATTTCAATTCTTTGTATAAAAAGCAAGAACCCAGAAATACTGGGCTTGGACCCCAACCACTGGTAACAAGGGGAGGATATAACTATTTAAACCGACGTAGAGAGTCTGGGGAGACAGTTCAAGGGTAAAGTGCCTTCCGTGCCAACATGAGGATCAACACCCACATAAAAATAGCCGGGCACAGTGGCTCAGCCCTGCAAACCTAGCTTCGGGTGTGGAGTGGTGACAGGCAAGCAGCTGGCTACCAGTCCAGCCAATAATTGATCTCCAGGTCCAGGGAGAAACTGTACCTCAAAATCTAAGTTGGAGGGGAGGCTGAAGAAGACACCCAATGGCCTCCACACTTGCATGTCTATGTGAGCACATACAACACACACACTCACAGAGAGAAAGAGAGACAGACAGACAGACAGACAGATAGAGACAGAGAGACAGAGACAGAGAGTAAGGGTTATATAATTTTCTGAACATATTTACTCACTAAATCCAAAGGAGAAAGGGTTGAGCTGAATAACCATTTAGTTTTGCATCACGTGACCTTGCTCACTCACCTGCCTTCTTTCATATCCTGTTTGTTCCCTCTTATCAGCTGTTCCTGCAAGCCCTCCGAAGACTCCATGAACCTACCAACCCCCTCTGAAGGCTCCATGAACCTACCAACCCCCTCTGAAGGCTCCATGAACCTACCAACCCCCTCTGAAGGCTCCATGAACCTACCAACCCCCTCTGAAGGCTCCATGAACCTACCAACCCCCTCTGAAGGCTCCATAACCTACCAACCCCTCTGGGCCCTCTTGCAATTCAGCCTTCCTCCTGCAGTATTGCTGCCTAGAAAAGCTGTGTCAATTTCTTGCATCAGTTTCCTCAGTGTCCACTGTGTCCTGGACACAGCGCAAGGTTCTGAAAATTCACAGACAGCAGAGCGAAGTCTGTCTGGGTAAAGAGGATGGTAAGACTGGGAGTGGGTTCAAGTCTTGACTAGGTGTCTTCAGGAAGTGCTGTGGTTGGTGAAGTAAAGGGTGGGCGGGCGTATGAGTGTGGGAGGTCGAGTCACTTTGAATGTGGCAGCCCTATTTCAGAGGCTGGGCTCCTGAGTCAAGTAAGGAGCCAGCAAACAGAGCAGGAGTATTGTCTCTGCTTGCTGACAAGTGCAACCTGACCAGCTGCCTCACGTTCCTGCCACCATGTACCCCCACCATGATGGACCGTATTCTCTAAGCACACACCACAGTAAACTCCACCACGATGGACCGTATTCTCCAAGCACACACGGCAGTAAACCCCACCATGATGGACCGTATTCTCTAAGCACACACCACAGTAAACCCCACCATGATGAACTGTATTCTCCAAGCATACACCGCAGTAAACTCCACCATGATGAACTGTATTCTCCAAGCATACACCGCAGTAAACCCTTGTTTATGCTGTTCTCAGGTCACAGCGACAAAGAGGGCAGCTAACACTATCCTCACTGCCCTCTCTAACCATCTTTCTGTAAAGTCTGCCCAAGAGCACCCAGAGTCAAGGGTTTTACCTTTTCTCATCATGTCTGTAGGATGAAGAGGTCCGGCCACTGGTCCATATAAACATCTTAAAGGATGTTGGTCCTGCCGCTCCTTTCCTCACGGTGGATGTCCTGGGGGAGTGGCAGAGAGACCTGCAGAGGACACACTGGGGTTAATTCTGTCTCTGGGGTTTCGGAACTCTGTGACCACAGCAACAACTCAGAGGTTCAGCTCTCTTGAACAATCCTGGGCTTTTACACTGTGGGGTGCTGGGTCTGTTCCTTGGAGAAACCCCACTGAAGCCTAGTGCTGCCCTCAGAACCTTGCATCCCATTTTTATTAGGCCCCATCCTTCACTGTCCACACCGACAGGCTGCGGAGCTTGTCTTCTGGAATCCTGGTTTTCTCACTGCTGTCGAAATCACAATGCTTCCTTCACAATGCAGAATCAGCATGGATTCTGTCTCAGTACGATGCACTTTAACAAATTTTAGTTGAGGTTTGGATACTAAAATTCGACTTCTTTCTCTTTACATTTTTCTTTACTATTCACAGATGGGACATGGTGGTGATGCAATACTACCCACCCCTCGGTTTTGAGGCAGAGTCTCCGTCTGCAGTCCAGCCTGGCCTCAAATTCATGAATCTCCTGTCTCAGCTTCCCAAGTGCTGGGACTGCAGGAAAGCCTTGTCCCTAAGGTGTGTAGTTGCCAGTGTAGGCAACAAATCAGCCACATGTGCCCAGCTGCTGTCAGCAGCCTGACCTCCTGGATCTGGAAGAAGGAGATGCCAGGCATGTGGCGTTCTTTGGTTTGGGTTTTGGGAAAGGTTCCCTAGTCTTTAAATGGCACCAAAGTAAACTATTTATCAGTATTTTCTACCTTCATTCTCTTTAAGAAAGAAAGATTTCTCCTTCTAGTTTTTCTTTTTTTTTCTCTTTATTTATGTGTGTGTGTGTGTCTTTGTGGCACGTGTGCACTTGGGTGAAGGTGCTCAGAAACCAGAGAAGGCATTAGATCTCCTGGAGCTAGAGGTACAGGCAGTTGTGAGCTGCCTGATTTGGGTGCTGGAAACCAAACTTAGGTCCTTTCTGTGCCATCTCTCCAGCCCTCTGCTTAGTAATTTTCTAGAGAGACAGAAACACAACATTTAAAGATAACAATCCAACACAAATGATACTCAATGCATTAAAACCAAGGAAGGCTGAAAAGTGACCCCTTTGGTGTGCATGGTTAATAGGAGTGAATGATATGAACGGTGAAAGAGAGGCTGGAAATAGTATTAGTGACTGGACTGTGTTCTCTGTTACACTCCTGTTACTCCACACTTCCCCTCTCTATCCTCAAGGCATGAGACCACAGCTATGTATCTTTGTTAGGGCAGTGAAAACCAGAAGAGCGGGCAGTGATGGAATTGCAAGATAACCAACCAATGACGCTTTCCGCTTCCGCCCAAAGCAGGGCTCTACCCCTGAGCTGTGTACACACCCCAGTCCCTGGTTATATTGAGGAAAGGTGAGCCATGCTTCCTTCCTGAGTTCTCATTCTCTCTGCAGTGACCCCTGATGACCCCAGGACTTTGCAAAGCTGAATCAGTGGATCTGAGTGGGTCCAGAACTCACCCAGAACTCTGAATCTCTCTGGAGCTCGAGGGTGAGATCAATATTGAAGATAACACTGAGCAGCAAGGGTTCCCAGGGCTCAGAAGAAAGGGTTGGCTTTTTGTCTGTTTGACCTTGATAAAGTCACATAACCTTTCTGGAGTTGAGTGATAGCATAAAAATCTGTTTCCAACTCTCCCTGGTATCCGTGGAATTTCAGACTAATTATTTAAGGTCTTTCTCAGTTCTATTATTTTTACATGCAGTTCAATGAATCTAAGAATATGGTTGGCTGTCACAGGTTGGGTTTATAAGAAAAGGCCTGGGAATTGGGCTCTTCTGAAACCCCTGGGTTGATGAGAGAGAGAGAGAGAGAGAGAGAGAGAGAGAGAGAGAGAGGAAGAGGAAGAGAGAAACCACAGGGGTTAGTCTCCAGTGGGGATGCAGAGGTCTTTCTTGGTCTCCTAGGATAATGGAGGGATGTGACTCACCTGGACAGATTCCCTCCACAGCTGTAGGAAGAGAAGAGACTGAATTTAAGCTAGGTGTGGTAACCTGGAATCCCAACACTCGGACAGTGGAGGCAGGAGGATGAGGGGTGTAAAACACTAGAAGGTATGACATAAAACAGGGACTAAATCCATTCTTTACCTAGGCAGCCTCCAGGAGATCAGGGTGATTCGGTGTGATTGACAGCGTTATATTGTAAGAATGGGACTGACTTGAACTTTGCGAAGTTATTTTAGGGTAGGCTTGTAGACTTCACTGGCTCCTCTAGTTAGGCCCTCAAAGGGTTGGAAGTGTAGGAGAGACAAAGATAAGCTGCCCAGTTTGAGGGCAGGTGAAGCGGTAAGTTAGTTAGCCTTGCCACACTATCCCTTACTGGCCAGAAATCCCAAATGTTCTAAAATAATTCAAAATGAAGGGGCTGCAGCGATCCATTGTCCTCTCGGTGCTTTTCTGACTGGGTGTCACTAGAAGGCACGTTGGCTACGTTGTTTTAAATTGATGCAGAAAAAGAAGATGAAAGATATGTTTATTTTAATTAACTGGAAGGGACATACTTACTGGCTGCTGAGGTTATTCCAATAAGCAGATTTGGAGTTTTCTACCCCAGTTTCTTTTTTTTTCATGAAGACAAATCGTTATTTAAAGCCCGCTAAGTTCACCATTAATTAAAATGAACGGAGTTTCTGTTCTTTTAAAGGCCATGGTATACAGACCCTATTTTCAGGCTTCAAAAGAAATGCCCAGAATTCAAACCTTGTCAGCAGAAGCTGGCTTCAAGGTATCCTCCCAACTTGGAGACGGCCCTCTTAACCTGTTAGTTAAGGAACCCAGTTGTCCCCATGGAGGGGAGATACAAACAATTCCTTCGGGTTGCCATCAGTGAAGTGGCACAGAGGAGCATGGGAAATCTTTATAAATGTTCGCAATTTTGAATCCTATGTGAAGTGGCTGTGTTAGACTGTGGGCCGGGGGAGAAGGTGGGTCAGGTCCACTGTACTGTTGTGTGGTTCTGAAAGGAAGAACCTCTGCAGAGTCCTGACTCATGGCTGCAGATGGGTGTGGTTTCAGACCACAGACCTAAGAGACCTGTGTCTGGACAGGGAGACAATGGCTCTGTCAGGAAAGTGCTTGCCCCGTGTCCTGAACTTGGTCGCTGGTATCCATATAAAATCTAGATACGGTGGTGTGGGTGTATAATCCCAGAACTGGGGAGTGGAGGCAGGATGATCCCTGGGACTTGCTGGCCTACTTGGCTAGTTTCAGGCAAACAAGAGGCCCTGTCTTAGAAAACAAAGTGGATAGTTCCAGAGGATGACCCTGAAGCTGACTTCTGGCCTTACACGCAAGCACGTCCGTACACATGCATCTACACACAAAGTTATACTCCTTAGCCTTCAAAGAAAACAGGGAGTCAGCAAGAGTGGGGATGCTTCCCTTGTCTAAAGAACTGGTCTAAGACCCTTTCCAAGTCCAAGTCCAAGCCCACCTTCAATGTCTCTGCTGTCTTGATTCAGATGCTGTCATTCCCTCTGCCTGTCTTCCCAACTGGGTAGCCACCTCAAATGTCCCCTTCTATGGAACTTTCTTCAGTGGCCCTGAGGAGCTCCACTCTCCCGACTAAACAAAAAGTGATGGTCCTGTCTGCACAAGCTCCCTCTTCCCTTCTAGGTAAGGCATCAGCATCTGCAGTGCGGGTCTATGTCTGCCATGCCAAGAGAACAGTTGGCAGGAAATGGCTCTGCTGTTCTATCAGCTTAAGAGACCATCAGATGGCTGCCTTGACTTTGGCTGCGTGTTCTGACCATGACAGCTGGCATCTCCTCAATCCTTCCCTTAGCTTGGGGTGTTCTGCTGCTTCTCAGTTTTTATTATTATTTGTTTATTTGAGACAAACACTAGCCTGGCTCCGTACCAGAAGATGACCTTGCACTTCTGATCCTTCTGTCTCTGCCTCTTGAGTGCTGGAAGGGCAGGTGTGTGTCCTTATAGTTGGCATTTGGGTCCTGGGGATTAACTCAGGGCTTTATGCGTGCTGGGCAAGTATGCTAACAACAGAGCTACATTCCAGCCCTGAGAATCTCTTCAAACTGCTATGTGTCCTCTCTCCTCTTATTAACTTAGACAGAAAGTTTAGATTGCTGCCGTATCATTCAATATGGATCTTTTAGAAAGATCAGCATGGCCTAAGAAGAAGCTGAGCATGAACAGCAGATGGCCCAGCTGTTTGTGTGCCTCTTGGCATCGGCATCACCAACTGTGTGACTTTGTACAAGCCAATTAACAGCTCTGAGTTTCTGTGTAAATACGGAAGGAAAAATTCCTGCCACTTGGTGGCTTGGAAGATAAACAAGCTATTCAGGGGGACTTCAAGTATATTTGCATGTGATAGGCGGATACTAAACATTGCTTCCCATCATTTTGCCTCCCCACTACTAAACTTAAAAACAAATGATGGAAAAAAAATCCAATTAAGTTGCTTTGTACCTGAACATGGAGCAAATCGATTCTTTCCTGTCCTATGGGGCTGGTGGCGGTCATAACTATTGAGATGGTAAAATCAAAATACGTCTTCATTAGCACCGAGTTCTGACACTTGTCCTGAGCAAGAGGACTGGGAAGGCGGTGCCTCTGAATGTGATCATGTGCTGGAGACAGCTCGGGGAACTATTGAAAATTTCTGGGGTTGCAAATCATTTTACCAAGTCAGGTACCAAAGGCACTTACCGAAATTTCAGAGGACCTGGGGTCAGTTCCCAGCACCCACATTATGTGACTCACAACCACCTGTTCCTCCAGATCCAGGGGATCAGATACCCTCTGACCTCCTAGGATAGCCACATGCTTGTGGTGAACATAAACTCACCCCAGGCACATATACATACAACACAAATATAAATTAAACTAATAAATCTTAAGAAAAATTCTAGTACTTGGTCTTTCAAGCCCGTCCAACCTTTTGACATCCAACATGACATTGTCATCTGCAGTGTTCACACTCAGCATCACACAACTGAGTCACAAGACAGCACCCGCAGAAAATAA